CTTGACACAAGGAATGCGACAGCTGAAACCCATGTCTTTCATACGTCTGTGCGTAGTGGTTCTTGAAGCACTGACTCCAGCTGCAGTCCACTCTTTGTGAATCTCCCCCACATTTTTGAATGGGTTTTGTTTCACAATTCTGTCCAGGGTGCGGTTATCCCTATTGCTTGTACACTTTTTTCTACCACATCTTTTCCTTCCCTTCGCCTCTCTATTAATGTGCTTGGACACAGAGCTCTGTGAACAGCCAGCCTCTTCTGCAATGACCTTTTGTGTCTTGCCCTCCTTGTGCAAGGTGTCAATGGTGGTCTTTTGGACAACTGTCAGGTCAGCAGTCTTCCCCATGATTGTGTAGCCTACAGAACTAGACTGAGACACCATTTAAAGGCCTTTGCAGGTGTTTTGAGTCAAATAGCTGATTAGAGGGTGGCACCAGGTGTCTTCAATATTGAACCTTTTCACAATATTCTAATTTTCTGAGATACCGAATTTGGGGTTTTCATTAGTTGTCAGTTATAATCATCACAGTTAAAAGAAATAAACATTTGAAATATATCAGTCTGTGTGTAATGAATGAATACAATATACAAGTTTCACTTTTTGAATGGAATTAGTGAAATAAATCAACTTTTTGATGATATTCTAATTATATGACCAGCACCCCTAATTAATTTTCACAATAAATGTATCAAATGGTGATGCAGTAACCACCGGATAATCTCTTAAGGTGACAGTAAATGAATAATAAAATGAAACAGAAGTGTTTATACTTTTGTTTAAAATTGTCTTTTCAGATTTTAGTTGTCACAATCTTGTTCATTTAGGTACCTTTATGTATTTTGAGAACTTTCTGAACTGTGTGCAATCAAAGGCATTATCTTGAAATCAAATAAGATTTTTAAGAGTATTCTTCACGTTAACAGGACATTAACACATAGAAGACGCTTGCTATAATACTGTTAAAAGCGATCTTCTATTGGCGGTAAAGAAAAGCACCGAAGAGCAGATTCATCTCTCAGCAGAGAGATGCCAGTGTTTACTAAAGGTGTTGTGGCACTTCCGGGATCATCCACCTGACGAGCACGCGACGCGACGTCACCTAGGTGTCAGACCAGGAGCGCAGAGAAGCTGAGAGTTACCTACTTTACATGAACCGAATCAGAGTCTTCTCAGTCCCCAGGTACCAGTTAGTTAGCGGTGAACGGTGAGAGGAGCTGCCGCGGGCCACCGAAGCTGACACAGCTGCCTTTCGCTGCGGACCCGCTCATGGAGTCTGCAGGTAAGAGGTGGGATGTGAATGTACAACTCTGAGTAGCAGTGGCCGTGGACGTGTGTACCACGTCCGTGTGTAGACGAAATATTTCGAACTATCAGTCGCTGGTGGAAGTAAAAGTAGTAATACTACACTGAAAAAGTACCCGGTTACAAGTAAAAGCCCTGCATTCAAAATGTTATTTAAGCAAAAGGATACAAGTGTTAGCATCAAAATATATTTAAAGTACCAAAAGTAGTCATTATGCAAAATGGCACAATGTGTCTCTGATACTACTGGATCCTAGAGACTGATGTGGCGTTACTGTGTTCATCACTTTAATGCTGCAGCTGGTAAAGGTGGAGCTGATGGTAACTACCTTATATACTTGTACTGTGAAGTACTTTCCATCCTACTGGGTAGCTGGTGGATTCCCCACTGGGATCAATAGAGTCTGATGGTTCTACTGGGTTTGGTTTGATTCATCTGATTCTGGAAAGGAACTGAACATATCACATAGATGCAGTGCACCAATACACATACTTACCTTTACTGTTTATACCAACAGATTAACCTTGATGTAACTGTGAGATCAGGGACTGATGTCTTTACCCCTGCCTCTCATTATCAGGTGGACAGCGGGGGCGGGATGGTGGCACTCAGAGACGCTCTCCTCTTGACATCATCTTGAGCCAGATCCGCAGGAAACACACGGCCTCAGACAGGAAGCCGCTAAGACGCTTCCTGTCCCAGAGCTCGCACCAAACAGGGATCCCTGAGGATGGAGAGATGGAGGGCAGAGAGGACAGAGGGCAGAGTCCAGGTGAGGAGGAAGCATCTCTTTTTGTTGTTTCACATGAGAATATTTCTTATACAAATCTTTTTTTCCTAATGGGACCATGACAAAATGTAACTCAAGTAAATCAAAAGAACCACACAGTTCAGCTGAAGCCCAGGTGAGGTCTCAGCAGCCTGTGTCAGTCAGATATCTTCCAGTGCTAATACAAAACCTCTCTAGGGTAGCTCACTAAGAGAAACACGAAGAGGCCCAAAAGCTCCAGGTACGTCAGGCTCACTTCAGCTGAGATTCTGAACCTTGTGTTTGTGTTTCAGGAGTTGTAGAAGCAGCCAGCAGTGAGCACGACGTGGGCTGGGGGCGAGTGTGCGTTTTCCTGCAGCGGCTGGGGAAGATGGCCGACTGCAGGAGCCTCAGTGTGGCCCACTGTGACCTGACCGCCACAGACCTGCTGGAGCTCGGTGCAAACACACACACACACACACTTTCAGTGCTTCACATTACACACCTCACATTTCAAATATTTACAGAGGATTTATTAATTCTTTTACAGTTGTGCATCAAGAAAAGCTCAGCCCGTCAGTTCTAACCCGCTTAGAACCAGTTTGGGAACAAGTCTGCTCAACGCCAGCATCACTTATCTAAATAATTTCCAAGCAGGGCCTACTGTTTAATAAGTTCAGGAAAACCTGAATTGATGTTCAGGACAAAAACACAGGCTGTTCTTCATGCTTAGTGTCAGTGTTGGAAGTTACTTGTATGTAACAGGTTACAGGTTACTAGCTACCCTGTTAAAATGTAATAAGTAATGTATTACTTCATTTTAAACTAGGAAATAAAGTTGAAACTCCAGACAGTTTAAGCCTCACAGCTGGCTCTAAGACCCCGCTTATCTTCTGGCCTCCTCAGCAACGCTGCTCCAGTTCCTCCCTCAGCTGGAGGAGATTGACCTGTCATGGAATGAGCTGATTGGTGGAAGTTTGAAGGCGCTGACCTCTCACCTGTGTCACGTTGGCGAGGTCAGGATGCTGAGGCTCTGCAGCTGCAGGCTAAACACCGAAGACGTCACTGCAGTGGGTGGGCCTTCGTTTCTGTTCTGGTTGAGAAAAGTGCAAATGTGAAGACCTGCTGCTTTTTCATGTCTTATATTATAGTGTCCTGAACACTATCACAGTAAACAAACTCATCAAACTGAAGACATCATTTAGAGCTCTAGGAAATTATTTTCATTATTTTATGATCTCCCCGAGTCCAAGAAGGTGCAGGAGTTTAGGTATTTGGGGTCAACAGTCCAGTGTGATGGGGAGTGTGGGAAAGAGGTGAAGAGGCGAGTGCAGGCGGGTTGGAGTGGGTGGAGAAAGGTGTCAGGAGTGTTGTGTGACAGAAGAGTGTCAGCAAGAATCCAAGGAAAGGTGTACAAGACAGTAGTGAGACCAGCTATGCTGTATGGGTTAGAGACTGTAGCAGTGAGGAAAAGACAAGAGGCAGAGATGGAGGTAGCAGAGATGAGGATGTTGAGGTTCTCTTTAGGAGTGACCAGGATGGACAGGATTAGGAATGAGCACATCAGAGGGACAGCTCAGGTTGGCTGTTTTGGGGACAAGGTCAGAGAGGCCAGATTGAGATGGTTTGGACATGTGCAGAGGAGGGATAGTGGTTATATTGGTAGAAGGATGTTGGAGATGGAGCTGCCAGGCAAGAGGTCAAGAGGAAGGCCAAAGAGGAGATATATGGATGTGCTAAAAGAGGACATGAAGTTAATTGGGGTGAGAGTAGAGGATGCTGAGGATAGAGTTAGGTGGAAACAGATGATTCGCTGTGGTGACCCCTAACGGAAACAGCCGAAAAAAGAATTTTATGATCTCCCCCAAAATAATTAATCCATCAATTGTAGAAATAATCAACAGATAAATCATTAATGAGGTTGATCATTAATTGCAGCCCTAGAGTTGGTTTGCTCCTATCAGAAGCCGTCAAAGTGACGAGGCGGAGGGCTCCACCTCTCTGGTGAAATTCAGATTTTAAAAATATATTTTGGAGTTAAGAAAAGAATAAATTACACAAAATAAATGAACTAAATATTTCCTGTTGTGTGTCTTTGTAGGTGAATCTCTCAGCTGCATCCCTCTCTTGGAAGTAGTCGATTTGTCCTGGAACAGCAGTGTGGGTGGCGGAGGGTTGCAAGGCCTTCTGGGTAAACTTCACCCACTGCTGAGGGAGCTCCACCTGGTGGCATGTCAGCTCACTGCAGCTGATGCTACTGTACTGGGTACTACCTTCACTCACAGTCTGCCTCATGTACTTCTGTGTCAGGGAATTATGTCCTACATTTCAACCGATACCGCGTGTGAACATTCACAGAATGTGTAAATACATTCATCTGTGAGAGACTGAAGAAAATGTTTCCACATGTGGTGTGTAGCTTTACTGCATTGCGATTTGTTCCTGGGGGTGTGTACAAGGTTTTCTGTGGTGTTTCTCTTCTGTCTGTATGGTTGTCAAACACCAGTACAACATGGTGCCTGCTTTATTCTGTCTGTTGTCTGTCTCTCTCAGGAGGAGTGGTGTCTGCTCTCCCCCGACTCTGTGTCCTCAATGTCTCCTGTAACCCTCAGCTCACACAGGAAGTTGATGCTGGCGGCTTCAGAGAGCTGGCTGCCTCTCTCTCTCACGCCACCTCCCTCACCACGCTCCAGTTACAGGCCTGCGGGCTGACGGTAGACTGCCTCGCTGCTCTGGGTAGGAGACCTACTGTCGGTCAGTGTAGTGCACCTGAAAAGCAGTTCAGTACGGTTAGGGGTAGGTTTACTGACGCTAGAGAGGATAAAAGAAAAGCTGTGGTTTTCTGTTGATGTGTGATGGGACATGTTGTCCCATTAGGTACTGTCTGGTATATTTATATTGGACACCCTGTGGTAAAAACCCTTGACACGCATCAGGACGAGTCCGTTCTGGTTCTAAGCTGCTCTGGTTTTTCTGTCTGTTGCAGGTGCTTCGCTCCGCAGCCTCCCCTCAGTGCGAGAGTTGGACCTGTCCTGTAATAAAAGTCTGGCTGGAGGACTGGACCGCCTCACTCTGCACCTGTCTCACCTCACACACCTGGAGAGCCTGGACCTCCACCTGTGCTGTCTTACACACAGCGACTTAGAGGCCCTGAGTGAGTCCCAGTGTGAATGTCAAACCTGTGCTGATATTTGCACCTGCAGCAGTCATGTGACTCGCTGTCTCCAGTCCAGGTGCTCCCCTCTCTGATGGCATTGACCGACCTGGATGTGTCGTCCAATAAGGAAGCTGGAGGTATGGTCCACCCGCTGGTGTCTGCCCTGCCTCTGATGCAGATGAGGAGGCTGCCGCTCAACAGCTGCAGCCTCAGCGAGGAGTCCTACACTGGTCTAGGTACACACACACTATACTGCTTCTGCTCATACTTGTACTGTAACTACTGCCAGTACTACTGTTACTAACCACTCTGCTGCTGCTACTACTTACATGTACTAGTGTGATGTTGCTGCCAAGGCTCAACATCACTTATTTATTTATTTTCCAGCTAATATCCTGGAAACCTTTCACATCATTTTCTAAAAATGTGTTTGTTTATAGCTGTAAATTACAAAGAAACCTCCAGGAAAGGGTTAAAATGTTGTTAGTGTTTCTAGAAAACTCCAGTTATATCTGTTTAGGAAGTATTTTTCACTTGTGTACTACATAACGTCCTATTTTTTTTAAACCTTTATATGATGAGCTGGTACTTTATAACTGCAGCAAATAACTGTGACATGTTTTGTAATTTACTGCTGAACAGCTAATTTTTAGGAAATTACCTGGACTTTATGGAACCTGCAAAATAAAGTTTATTACCGTGAGTTCAATGCCTGACAAAACTACATTTTCAACACCAGCTGACAGTGTGTGTGTGAACCTTTGTATTCTAAATATTGAAAGAAATGTGAGATTCCTGGGTTTTATACATTAATTTTAATTTATTTTATTTAAATGTAAAGTTTAAAATGGGTAAAAGTGTAGATTTAGTGCCTTCAATCCGTCTCTATTAAGTTGCATCGAAGTAGGATAGAATGTCAGCTATTCTTTCTGATTTGTGTGTGTGTGTGTGTGTGTGTGTGTGTGTGTGTGTGTGTGTCAGCGCTGGCGGTGCCGTACCTCTGCAGTGTGGATGTCTCCTGGTGTAAAGTGGTTGGTGGTCACTTAGCGCTGCTGCTGGACGCTCTGCAGCCATCAGTCATCCTTGAGCTGCACCTCAGCAGCTGTGAGCTCACCTCTGATGATCTGCATCACCTCGGTAACACAAACACACAGCATCTTGAAAAGCAAAGCTAAGACACAAACTCTGTTCAGTTTTACAGGCGACTGACAAGCTGATGATGAGACAAGTATAATCAGTTAAACTGGAGACCAGTGTACAAAAAACAGATTATATCAAAGCAGGAAGGAAGTGTAAAGCAGGCAGAATAAACTTTGTCTCTGTTGTACTTTAGTTCAAGACGAGCTTCAAACTCGACTAAAAGACTAAAAAGAAACACAGTCCTGAAAAGTGGTTTTCGATATCAGTCAGGGTCTTGCTTGGTTAAATAAAGTTCTATAATGTATGGAGGAAGATTATTACCTGATAACAACAACCTCAACCTCAGTCCACAAAGTAACCAGTAGATACATCCATCAGATAAACAAGTAGTTGAAAATATAGGAAATCCCAAGCAGAATGGAACCACAGCCTCTCAGCTATACCACAGTCTAGTGCTTTAGTAAATGTGCTCAGTCACTTCCCACCTCCTAACCCTGTTGTATTATCAGTGGTCACTCATCACTTACAGTTCTTCATCCTTGTCCCCGAGCAGCTGCAGTATGCAGACGTGGATGTCTGTCGTCTCTCCGGGTACTGGATCTCTCCTACAATGGCTCTGTGGGCGACGAGGGCTGGTCTGCGCTGTTTGCAGCAGGAGGTCTGGGCTCACTGGAGGACGTCGACCTCAGTTTACGACCTTTGACCTCCGCCTCCTGCTCGGTCTGGCTGCCGGCGCTGCTCTGTGCTCTGCCTCAGCTGCCGGCGCTGACCCGGCTGCGATGGGCGATTGGCTCCCAGGAGCGGGAGCAGCTACAGCACCGCCTGAGGAACAGGAGCATCCTGCTGGAGTGGGACCCGGACAGTATAGATGAAGCTTCATTACGTGAACAGGAGAGTCCGGAGGAGTAGATGTGGCGAAACCAAGACCCAAGTTTAAAAACTTCACCAGCACACATTTGTTCCACTGACATGGTTGATTCAGACATATGATTGTGTCTTGTAAATATAGTTAGTTCTAAAACAAGTTGTAGATTGTAGTAGTGGATAGGATCTCTTCCAAAGTGGACAGAATATTTTGGAAAGATTTTATTTAATCTGGATATATTTTGTTAGTGAAATGTATTTTAACAGAGTAAAGATACTGATACAGTGTGGTCTGTTGATATCTATTGTTGTAAAAAGTCGTCTTTGAAGGTAGACTGGTTAAGGTCTAACTCACATTCATGTTGTTTTATTAACTAAACCTTTCACATTTGGTTAACAAACAAAACATAAGATGTGGTAAACATATTGACAGTTATGATAAAACAGTCATTCTCAATGCCTACTACTTTGACATATCGATGACTCCTGACTGGTTTGACATCCGTCGATCTGCTGCAGAGAGCCTGAACTTTCCACTGGTCAAAATTATGATAACACTACAACTTCAGTCTGCTGAGGAAAACATACGATCAAAACCAAAAGCTCCAGTTAAACCTCTAAGTGGAGCTTGTGGTGAGGGTCTTACATGGAACAGTGGGATTTCAGCCTAAAACGTTTAAGCTGAACTGGGCTTAAACTGCCTGTAACATGGAAATCTACAGGGTGGGCCACGGAAAAGTAGCCCACCTCCAATACCGGTGCCAAGCTCTTGAGTACACAGGCTAGTTTTCCATGGCCCACCCTGTACAGTGACAACTGGACAAAGCTCATCTGCTGAGGAAGAATGTAATGTGATCGAAAGATCCAGAACATTTCTTGGTTGGACCAGTTTGTTAATCTTACCACTGCGGGAAAATGGACTCAACATGTGGCCTCTGCATTCTGCTATTTTTAAGATACACTGAAACTCAAGACATGTAAAACTTCTCATCACTGAGGCTTTAGAAATCACTGTGAACTCTGATGCTCTTCATACTTGAACAGTTTGATGTGTAAATAATGTAGTTTCAAGTTAAATCTGCAGTTTACGTTCTGCACCTTTAAATCTAAGACAGACTTCAGGACATTTCGACTGTTTTACTTTGTTCTTTTGATGTGTGCACACAGTCAGGCTTTAGAGTTTGAACCTTAATATCTTCGGCATACCTTGGGCTAGAAACGCCATTTCAACTCTATTCAACTCGTGAGACGTTCAGCTACCAATGGTGCACAAATCATCTTGATATCGTTTATGTTTTTTTTTAATAATCGACATTTATATTTGGTCTATTTGTCCATAGACAAAGCATGGGCCAATGCAGTGCAATGCCATTGGTAGCTATGCATCACGTGACTTCCCGGTCTAGCTGCTCTCGCTATGCTTTTCCTCTTATTATGCCATTCTTAAGCTTTATACACATATAATAGATGACAATCGTAGAGAAAATTGTCACGAATTCAGCTGTCAGTGTTACTGAGATGGGATGAATGGTATTTGCGTAAGTCGCTCATTCCAGCACATACGTCTCACTGCTCCATAGACTTAGTCAATACAGAAGATTCACTGAAACAAAACATCGGCATATTTGTAAATCGTAACTGTTCCTTCATTTTGTTTAATCTTGGCATAATACAACAGTGGAATAACACAACAAAGTGCTGTATATATATTAATATTGGACACCAGTTTGCTCATCGCCGTCTCTCACTCTGTCGCTCCCTGACTTGCAGTCAAATAATACGCTGGAAGCAAAACGTCTTTGTAATTATAAAACGCCACGGTTCCTTCAATCTGTTTAATATCATGACATAATACAACAGTGTAATAACACAACAGGGTGCTCTATTTGTTTGAAACTGAATGCAGAAATGCACGTCTGGTTGTCACTATCTGTTTCTCTCTGCAGACGCTGTCAACAGCTGCTTGTCAACTGTATTCAACTCGTGAGAAGTTGAACCTTAACACCTCAGGGATACCGTGGGCTAGAAACGTCATTTCAACTGTATTCAACCTGTGACATAATCAGGTATTGATGATGTAAATATCTGCTTGATATCTCTTACGGTTTATTTTTTATCAATATTTATATTTTGTCTACCTCTCCATTCAAAGTCAGTGCTCTGTGGATCCACGAGTCATGTGAACCTCTGCTCTAGCTTCGTCTGTCTGTGTTCTTTCAACAATCTCAACAGATCGCTCTGCTGACTAGCTACATATAGATTAATGCCTTTTATGTAAACATACTGGACTGTTATGAACAAGCCTGGCCGAAGAAGGATTTGTTAAGAGACATTATTTTTTAAGTGTACTCAGTTGTAATGTGTAGTCATGCTGTTTCCACCACTGTGGGGCGTAGTTTTTGTGAGCGCACCCATTTAGTTTTTAGCGGGAAGGTCTGTGTTCAGTTTGGGGTCGTCACACTAGAAGAGTGTAGACGTGTGTTATTCTTTGTCTCAATAAATATGCTAAGAGAGCTAAAAGATATTATTGCTTCCGTCAAATTTCTTCCTGAGTTCAACGCTGGTGAAGCTGCAAAGCTCAACATTGACATAATAAAACAGTGGGATAACTCAACAAAGTGCTGTATTTATTAATATTGGGAGTCACGTTTGCTCATGGGCGCACCCTTAGAGATAGGGTGAGGAGCTCGGTCACCCGGGAGGAGCTCAGAGTAGAACCGCTGCTCCTCCACATCGAGAGGAGCCAGCTGA